TATAATTCCCAGCAACTACAACTCCCAAATGTCAAGGTCTATTTCCCCCAAACTCCACTACTGTTCACATTTGGGCATATTCTGTATTCGTACCAAATTTGGTCCAAATCCATCATTGTTTGAGTCCACAGTGTTCTCTGGATGTAGGTGAACTACAACTCCCAAACTCAAGGTCAATGCCCATCAAACCCTTCAAATTTGGGCATGGAGTTCTGTGTGCCAATTTTGGTTCAATTCCATTGTTGACGGGGTTCAGAATGCTCTTTGATTGTAGATGAACTATAAATCCCAGCAACTATAACTCTCAAATGACGAAATCAAAATTCTAATCCGAACATCCGATTTTTATGACAGGACCAATTAGAAACTGCCATTTATAATAAAATTCTGAAAGTTTTGTTAGAGTTCTGAAATTTTCACCACCAGAACTTTAACAACACTTTAGAAGCAAAGACCCAGCTTTAGATACAAAACTTTCAAAAAATATATTTATTATTTCGTTATTGGCGATTTTTATGACAGAACCAATTAGGAACGGCCATTTATTATGACATTTTGTTAAGAGTTCTGAAATTCTCACCGCCAGAACTTTAACAACACTTTAGAAGCAAAGACCCAGCTTTAGATACAAAACTTTTAGAACAATGGATTGCCCATGTCTAGCTTTCGGAGGTCCGACTGCCAGAACCAATTAGGAACTGCCATTTATTATGACCTTTTGTTAGAGTTCTGAAATTTTCACCACCAGAACTTTAACAACACTTTAGAAGCAAAAAAACCAGCTTTAGATACAAAACTATCAAAAATTCTATTATTTCGTTATTGGCGATTTTTATGACAGAACCAATTGGGAAATGCCATTTATTATGACCTTTTTTAGCAACACTTTAGAAGCAAAGCACCAGCACCCCCTGGTTTTGTAAGTACTTTAGAACAATGGATTGCCCATGTCTAGCTTTCGGAGGTCCGACTGCCAGAACCAATTAGGAACTGCCATTTATTATGACCTTTTGTTAGAGTTCTGAAATTTTCACCACCAGAACTTTAACAACACTTTAGAAGCAAAAAAACCAGCTTTAGATACAAAACTATCAAAAATTCTATTATTTCGTTATTGGCGATTTTTATGACAGAACCAATTAGGAACTGCCATTTATTATGACCTTTTGTTGGAGTTCTGAAATTTTCACCACCAGAACTTTAGTAACACTTTAGAAGCAAAGCACCAGCACCCCCTGGTTTTGTAAGTACTTTAGAACCATTTAGAACAACGGATTGCCCATGTCTAGCTTTTGGAGGTCTCACTGCCATCGTCTTGGGAGAGGGACTTACGCCTGAAGGGACTCTGTGACGGAGCCGATCTGGTTGACTTTGAGCAGCAGGCAGTTGCAGGACTTCTCCTCCACGGCTTTGGCGATCCGCTTGGGGTTGGTCACCGTCAGGTCGTCCCCCACCACCTGGATCCCTGCGCTGGCCGTGAACTTCTTCCAGGCAGCCCAATCGTCCTGGTCAAAGGGGTCCTCAATGGAAACCACTGGGAATCGAGAAGGGAGACAGATAGGTATTCTCTTTCATTTCCACCACCAAAGCCGGAAATGAAAGGAGAAGCCTTTGCCTTTGTTTGTGTGTCTCATTGTATTATTTCCTGGTATCTGTTTACACTGTAATCCACTCTGAGTCCCCTTGGAGAAGGCAGGAATATAAAATGTTGTTGTTATATTATTATTATTATTATTGTTGTTATTATTATTATTATTATTTTACTTACACAAAAACACAGTATGTCACAGCAAACGAGATCTCTATGCTGGATTTCGTATCACAAAATCACAAGTCGAGCACTTCCCAAGCATCCAGCACTGTGTGATGTATATTTGAATTATTATTGTTATTATTGTTATTATTATTATTATATTCAATTATTATTATTATTTTACTGACACAAAAACACAGTATGTCACAGCAAACAAGATCTCTATGCTGGATTTCGTATCACAAAATCACAAGTCGAACACTTCCAAGTGTCTAGGACTGTGTGATGTATATTTGAATTATCATTAATATATTCAAATTATTATTATTATTATTATTATTATTATTATTATATAATTACTAGCCGTGCCCTGCCACGCATTGCTGTGGCCCAGTCTGAGTATGTTTTGTGTGTGTGTATATTTGTGTATTTATATGTGTGTATGTATATTGTGTATATGTGTGTACTTGTCTATATGCATATTTGTGTGTAGATATATGTGCATGTATGTGTATGTGTGTGCATGTGTATTTGTGTTTGCATATATACTGTATATGTGGGTGCATATATATGTGTGTGTATATTCGTGTGTTTAGATGTGTGTATGTATATTGTGTATATGTGTGTGCTTGTCTATATGCATATTTGTGGGTAGATATGTGTGCATGTATGTGTATGCATGTGTATATGTATGTTTGTATACATACTGTATATGTGGGTGTATATGTGTGTGTATATATTTGTGTATTTATATGTGTGTAGGTATATTGTGTATATGTGTGTGCTTGTCTATATGCATATTTGTGTATATATGTGTGTGTGCATGTATATATGTATATGTGTATATATGTGTGTTTGCATATATACTGTATATGTGGGTTTATATGTGTGCGTGTATCTGAGTACATATTTGTGTATTTGTGTGTTTATATGTGTGTATGTATTATGCATATGTGTGTGCTTGTCTATATGCATATTTGTGTGTATATTTATGTATATGTATGTATGTATGTATGTATGTGTATATGTATATGTGCTTGCATGTGTATATGTATATGTATGTGGACATTTGCTTATACATATATATGTGTATGTATATATGTATATTTGTATGTGCTTGTGCATATATATGTGTGTGTATGAATGTGGTGGCATGTGTATATGTATATGAGCAAATGTGTATATGTATATATGGGTGTATTTTCTGGGTTTTAAAGTCTGTTCCGTTATTTTGTTTAGGTTTGTGTGTGTGTGTGTGTGTGTGTGTGTGTTTTTACGGGTGATGGACACTCATTGGCCTGATATTTGTATTTGTATCCGAATTTGGTGTCAATTCGTCCAGTGGTTTTTTAGTTACGATAATCCCACAAACAAACATTACATTTTTATTTATATAGATTATTATTGTTATTGATTATTATTATTATTATTATTATTATTATTATTATTATTAGGTTTTTAAACCGAAAGGGCACATCCATAATCTATTTATATAGATTGTTGTTGTTGTTATTATTATTATTGTTATTGTTGTTGTTATTGTTGTTGTTGTTGCTGTTCTAAGGCTGTATTTACAAGGGGAAGGCAAACACCGGCACAGGATTGTCGTGCCCGACACATACATACATCGTTTCACTTCAACTCACCTGGGTAGTTCTTCACAAATCCCTTGTACAGCTCTGCCAGCTGGTCAGGGCTGATGTATCTGCTGGGGTCATCTGGGGACTTGAAGTCCAGGTCGTATTTCCCGTCGCGATAGAATTCGGAGGCGGCCACGTCCATCCCGATGACAATCTTGTCGGTGTATCCAGCCTTGCTGATGGCGGTCTTCAGCAGTTCCAGAGCTGGGAGGAACGAAAGGTAGAAGCCAAAGCATTGTTTTCAACTTTGAATAAGTCACAGGCGAGAGAAGAATCCCAGGAAGTCACACTATGTTTACATAACCTTCCAAGTGTTCCCTGCTGCAAAGCTTCTGAAGTGTTGCTAAAGTTCTGCCGGTGAAAATTTCAGAACTCTAACAAAACTTTCAAATTTTCATTATTATTTCGTTATTGGTTATTTTTATGACAGGAACAATTAGGAACTGCCATTTAAAATAAAATTCTGAAAGTTTTGTTAGAGTTCTGAAATTTTCACCACCAGAACTTTAGCAACACTTTAGAAGCAAAGAACCAGATTTAGATATAAAACTTTCAAAAATTCTATTTATTATTTTGTTATTGGTGATTTTTATGACAGAACTAATTAGGAACTGCCATTTATTATGAACTTTTGTTAGTGTTCTGAAATTTTCACCACCAGAACTTTAGCAACACTTTAGAAGCAAAGAACCAGATTTAGATACAAAACTTTCAAAAATTCTATTTATTATTTCGTTACTGGCATTTTTTTTATGACAGAACCAATTAGGAACTGCCATTTATTATGACATTTTATTCTGAAATTTTCACCACCAGAACTTTAGCAACACTTTAGAAGCAAAGCACCAGCGTCCCCTAGTTTTGTAAGTACTTTAGAACCATTTAGAACAATGGATTGCCCATTGTGACGATGTGTAAATTTTATTCCTTTGGTTATGTGTAGTTTGGACAGTGGTTTAGGGATGGTAAGTATGTAAGATTATGTTTTGTTGGAGAGAGAGTGGCTTGGCGTTAGCTGAGTTGCCATAGCAACAGGGGCGGAGCCAACTGCCTCTTCAGGGGCAGCTGTTTTGAAAAAGGGTCAGTCAGTATGCCAGCAAGCTGAGAGAACACTGAATCTTTTGGTGGAGATTCAGGGAATGTGTCTGTAGCCAGTGTGCTATAGGGAAAAACTGAATCTCTTAGAGATTCAGTGAATCAATTGGTGACCAAAGTGGTTGCAGAGAAGGACCCGGTACAGGGGGTTATTGATTCTGAATTAAGAATCAAGGTTTGGCTGGGTTTAAGCCTGTTGTGCCAGCTGTGAAACCTTATGAAGTGTTTGCCTGAGTTTACTCGTGAAACCTTTCCAATGTATCCATCAAGATTTGTACTTTAGAACCATTTAGAACAATGGATTGCCCATTGTGACGATGTGTCTCTTGATGTGTAAATTTTATTCCTTTGGTTATGTGTAGTTTGGACAGTGGTTTAGGGATGGTAAGTATGTAAGATTATGTTTTGTTGGAGAGAGAGTGGCTTGGCGTTAGCTGAGTTGCCATAGCAACAGGGGCGGAGCCAACTGCCTCTTCAGGGGCAGCTGTTTTGAAAAAGGGTCAGTCAGTACGCCAGCGAGCTACTGAGTGGACTGAATCTTTTGGTGGAGATTCAGGGAATGTGTCTGTAGCCAGTGTGCTATAGGGAAAGACTGAATCTCTTGGTGGAGATTCAGGGAATCAGTTGGTGACCAAGTGGTTGCGGAGAAGGACCCGGTACAGGGGGTTGTTGATTCTGAATTAAGAATCAAGGTTTGGCTGGGTTTAAGCCTGTTGTGCCAGCTGTGAAACCTTATGAAGTGTTTGCCTGAGTTTACTCATGAAACCTTTCCAATGTATCCATCAAGATTTGTGCCTCTTTTGAAGAACAGTTATACATTGTTATACTCCTGTTAAAATAAACTTGTTACTGTTTTCCTCAAGCCTTGCCTGATACAGTTTCTCCTAAGTTGAACAGCCTGCAATAGTAAAGTCAAGCCAAGAAAGTAAACGCTACGCTATCAAGTGAATAAAGCCTTCTGTAATTAACAGTCCCTTTATAAAATAGCTCCTAGGTTGATATTGATCGTTGCCCGGCTTCCCTCATAGATAAGGTGGCAGTGGGTGCTTTACCACGCGCACCTTCACAATTGGTGGCATTCGGTGGCATTAAAACGGTCATCGTTACAATTGGTGGCAGCAGTTTAACGACTCCTTCACACCCTCCCTGGCTTTTATACCAATAACAACGATGCCTTAAAGAACGATCTTGGTGCGGTAAAGTATTTTGGTCAGAATCCTGTTCGGGATGTACATGTGCGTAAGTGGAGAGCTGCGTGATACTCCAAAACCATAAAGCTGACCTAGCAGACATCTGGCAGCTGGGTTACAAATTTACAGTAAGCAACCCAGCCAGGAATTAAAAATAAAATAGATTAGGAACTCTCAGCAAGTTTTCTGCATTGCTGGAATGTCTGGCTCCCAGGAGGTTCATGCGGCCGTAGCAAAGGCCTTGGGATCCCAGAGAAGAACATAATCGCGCTTCCGTTCCTTATTTTTTCCCAAAGGGGAGTTCTAGGTTAAGATTGCTTTCAAATATTGTATAAGAACTCAACCTTTCTAATGCCGTGACACCTAAATAAAGTTGTGGTGACCCCCAACCATATTTTCATTGCTATTTCATAACGGTAATTTTGCTACTCTTATGAATCAAACACCAATGGATCTGGAACAAGCTCGGCACGGGGTGCGGGCTCGGCGGCAAAGGCTCCCCCGATTGCCAGGCTATGTGGAGCCCTCCTCACGGTTCCGCCCCACTTAAGCTCGGCAAAGAACACCAATGGATCTGGAACAAGCTCGGCACGGGGTGCGGGCTCGGCGGCAAAGGCTCCCCAGATTGCCAGGCTATGTGGAGCCCTCTTCCCGGTTCCGCCCCACTTAAGCTCGGCAAAGGGGGAGTGCCAGGCAGCCATGGCACTCCATGGATGGCGAGGCCATGTGGGGAGCCGTCCACCCAGCCCTCGCCCCCTTCCGAGGTCAAAACTAACAAAATGAAGTTCAACAGTGACAAATGCAAGATACTCCACTTTGGCAGGAAAAAAATGCAAAGATACAGAATGGGGGACAATGAGGCCTGGCTCGAGAGCAGGACGTGTGAAAAAGATCTTGGAGTCCTTGGGGAGGAAGGTAAACACGAGCCAGGAATGTGATGTGGCGGCAAAAAAAGCCAATGGGATTTTGGCCTGCATCAAGAGGAGCATAGTGTCTAGATCTAGGGAAGTCATGCTCCCCATGCTCTATTCCGCTTTGGTTAGACCACACCTGGAATATTGTGTCCAACTGAAGACATTGATGATTATAGTTTTTATGGTTTTATATGGATTTTGACTATGTTATATTAAATGTTTTTTATTGGTAGTGTATGTATGTATGTATGTATGTATGTATGTATGTATGTTGTGGCATCAAATTGTTGCCAGTCTGTATGCTGCCTTGAGTTGCCTTCAGGCTGAGAAAGGCAGGACAAAAATGCTGCTAATAAATAAATAGATTTTATGATATTTATATCCCGTCCTATCTCGACCTCCACAGAGGGACTCAGGATGACTAACAACAACATAGATATACATATTAAGTAAAAACAGTATAAAACATTATAAAAACATTGAAACAATCTCCAATTTATGCCATCGTCTTAAGAACAGTCCATCAGAGTCCATTAAAACCATAGCTTTACCATCCAATCCGTCTAGACTGCAAAGGCCTGATCCCACAGCCAGGATTTCACTTTTTTTCCAGAAAGTCAAGAGGGATGGAGTGGATCTGCTTTCACTTGGGAGGAAATTCCATAGCCGAGGGGTCACCACGGAGAAGGCCTGGCTCGAGAGCAGTACGTGTGAAAAAGATCTTGGAGTCCTCGTGGACAACAAGTTAAACATGAGCCAACAATGTGATGTGGCGGCAAAAAAAGCCAATGGGATTTTGGCCTGCATCAAGAGGAGCCTAGTGTCTAGATCTAGGGAAGTCATGCTCCCCATGCTCTATTCCGCTTTGGTTAGACCACTTTACCTGGAATATTGTGTCCAATTCTGGGCACCACAATTCAAGAGAGATATTGACAAGCTGGAATGTGTCCAGAGGAGGGCGACTAAAATGATCAAGGGTCTGGAGAACAAGCCCTATGAGGAGCGGCTTAAGGAGCTGGGCATGTTTAGCCTGAAGAAGAGAAGGCTGAGAGGAGATGATAGCCATGTATCAATATGTGAGAGGAAGCCACAGGGAGGAGGGAGCAAGCTTGTTTTCTGCTTTGGAGACTAGGACGCAATGGAACAATGGCTTCAAACTACAAGAAAGGAGATTCCATCTGAACATGAGGAAGAACTTCCTGACTGTGAGATCCGTTCAGCAGTGGAACTCTCTGCCCCGGAGTGTGGTGGAGGCTCCTTCTTTGGAAGCTTTTAAACAGAGGCTGGATGGCCATCTGTCAGGGGTGATTTGAATGCAATATTCCTGCTTCTTGGCAGAATGGGGTTGGACTGGATGGCCCAGGAGGTCTCTTCCAACTCTTTGATTCTATGATTCTATGAGAGCCGAGCAGAAAAGGCTCCCCAATGGCAAGGCCATGCGGGGAGCCATCCGCCTGCCCCCACACACAGCAGCCATTTTGGAGGGGGCGGGGCCAACCAAGGCAGCTTCGCAACCCCCCGAAAATGGCTCAACAACCCCCCTGGGGGTCGCGAACCCCAGGTTGAGAACCACTGAACTAGACTATAATGATGGTAAGGTTTTGAGAAACCGAACTATTGTTTGGCCCATTGGGTGCTGTATGAGTCTTCTGCAAGGCAATAATATTTTTTAAGGTGAAGAAGATAGTTTCTGTTTACCTTCTTTGTTCTCCAAGATGTTTGGCGCAAAGCCACCCTCGTCGCCCACATTGGTCGCATCCTTCCCATATTTCTCCTTGATGACGTTCTTCAGGTTGTGGTACACCTCGGCCCCAATGCGCATGGCTTCCTTGAAGGACTCGGCACCGATGGGGAGGATCATGAACTCCTGCATGGCCAATTTATTCCCAGCATGGGACCCACCGTTGATGACGTTGAAAGCCTGGAGGAAGCAAGAGCAAAGATCAGAAGGTGACCTCTTCTTCTGCATAGGATGAGGTTCTAGACTTACCTAGAATTATAAGGTTATAGATTTTCCTCCCTTCCTTTTCTTCCTTCCTTCTCCTTCCTTTCCTTCTTTCCCTCCTTCCCTTCCTTCCTGTCTCTCCTTCCTTCTTCCTTTCCTTCTTTTCCTTCCTCCCTCCCTTTCCTCCTTCTTTCCCTTTCTTCATTTCCTTCCCCTTCATTTCCTTCCCTCCCACATTTCTTCATCCCAAGGAAGGAAGGAAGGAAGGAAGGAAGGAAGGAAGGAAGGAAGGAGGGAAGGAGGGAGAGAAGGAGGGAGGGAAAGAAGGAAGCAAAGAAAGAAAGGTAGAGAAGCAAGGAAGGTGAGAATGATATAAAAATGAAAGGAAAAAGAGAGGGAAGGAAGAAAGAGAAGGGAAAGAAAAGGGGAGGAAGGAAGGAAAGAAGGAAGAGAAGGAGAGAATTAAATAAAAAAGTGAAAGGAAAGAAGAGGAGAGAAAGAGGGAGGGTAAGTTGGCCATAGCAACATGTGGTAAGGAAGGAAGGGGGAGAGAAAGGAGGAGAGAAAAAAAAGGAAAGGAAAAAAGAGAGGGAAAGAAGGAAGGAAGGAAGGAAGGAAGGAAGGAAGGAAGGAAGGAAGTAGAGAAGCAAGGAAGGAGAGAAGGAAATAAAAAAGTGAAAGGAAAAAGACAGGGAAGGAAGGAGAGAAGGAACTAAAGACAGGGAAGGAAGGAAGGAAGGAAGGAAGGAAGGAAGGAAGGAAGGAAAGAAAGAGAAAAGAGAAGGAAAGAAGGAAAAAAAGTGAAAGGAAAAGAGGAGGAAAAGAAGGAAGAAAGATAAGGAAGGGAGTGAGGGAGGGAGGGATTGGGGGGGGGGGAGGAGAGAGGGAAGGGAAGGAGGAGGAAGGAAGGAAGGAGAGAAGGAAATAAAAAAATGAAAGGAAAAATACAGGGAAGGAAGGATGTAACCAAAGAGCAAAGAAAGGGAGGAAAGAAACAGAGATGGAAGAAAGAAGAAGATAAATAGGAAGGGAAAGAAAAAGAGGAAAGGAAGAAGAGAAAGAGGGAGGGAAGGTTGGCCACAGCAACGCGTGGCGGGTACAGCTAGTAGAGAAATAAATAAGCACAGGATCAGCTCATTTTCTAGAATGGTAACGTATCACTGAAACGTAGCAGCTTTGGCTGGACACTGGAGAAGCCTCCAATACAGCTCCGCAAAGGCCACTTACCGGGACGGGCAGAATGACTTCCTTGTTGCCGGCAAGGTCGGCAATGTGTCGGTACAAAGGGACCCCTTTCTCAGAGGCACCGGCTTTGCACACGGCCAGGGAGACGCCCAAGATCGCGTTCGCTCCAAACTTGGCTGCAAAAAATAATATATTGTTTACTTGACAACAACTGCAATTGTTGAAACAGATGCAACCAAACGGTTCGTAGCAAAATATAAACAATGACATGCAATAGAAAAAGAGCTTGCAACCGAAAAGGGACTGTTTGTAACTTGCTCCCGGGCATCCAAGTGGTCTTTAAGATGTGTATTTAATTACTACTTGACTTACACTTGTTCTCAGACCCGTCCATCTCCAGCAGCAGCTTGTCAATCTTCTCTTGCTCCACAACACTAATGTTCTGCAGGGGAAAGGGGAATTGCCACAATGAGAGCGAGAAGGCAATAATAAGTAGAGTAAAATAATAAATGTAATAATAACAACAATAGAATCAAATAATAAACAACCTTGACTCGAATATAAGGCAAAAGAGGCTTTTTCAGTGTTAAAAAAGGGCTGAAAACCCCAGCTTATACTCAAGTATATGCGGTAATTTTCTTTTATGGACAGGTTACCCCGCTGTTTATTCTAGTGTCCATAAAATACCAAAAACACACTTGCAGATTTGACTTCTGTAAGTAACTGACAAGTAGTAATTGTCAGAAGTATTAAAAATTAACCGAGCTAAACCAGCCCCTTGGTTCACTGAGGAGCTGGCAGCGATGAAGCGAAGGAAGAGGGTTCTAGAGAGCGTGTGGCGCTCGGACCCAAGCGAGCCAAACCGAACACGGTTTGTGTCCTTTTTAAGGGCATATGCCGCGGCAATAAAAGCCGCAAAGAAAACTTTCTTTGCGGCCACTATTGCGTCTGCAAAAAACCGTCCGGCGGAGTTGTTTCGGATTGTCAGAGGTCTTTTAACTCCCCCTATTTCAGGTGGGAGCCCTGACAATTCGGCAGCGCGCTGTGAAGCATTTGCTCGGTTCTTTGCAGACAAAGTCGCTTTGATCCGCTCTGGGCTGGACGCCACATTAGATGCAGTCTCTGTGGATGTGACACAAGCACCTGCTTGTCCTATTTTGTTGGATTCTTTTCAGTTTGTGAAACCCGAGGATGTGGACAAGATACTTGGAGGAATGAGGCCCACCACGTCCATCCTAGACCCCTGCCCATCCTGGCTTCTGAGAGAGGCCAGAGGGGGATTGGCCGAGTGGGTAACAGTGGTGGTGAATGCCTCCCTTCGGGAAGGCAAGATTCCAGCGAGCCTAAAACAGGCTATTATAAAGCCGCTGTTGAAGAAACCATCACTGGACCCCACTAAATTGGACAACTTTCGGCCTGTTTCCAATCTTCCCTTCTTGGGCAAAGTCATGGAAAGCGTGGTGGCCTCACAACTCCAGGTATTCTTGGGAGACACGGATTATCTGGATCCGGCACAGTCTGGTTTCAGACCGGGACATGGTACCGAGACGGTCTTGGTCGCCTTAGTGGATGATCTGCGCCGGGAGCTAGACAGGGGGAGTGTGTCCCTGTTGGTGCTCCTGGACCTCTCAGCGGCCTTCGATACCGTCGACCACGGTATTCTTCTGGGACGCCTTGCAGAGATGGGTCTTGGGGGCACTGCTCTGCAGTGGCTCCGGTCATTTCTGGAGGGTCGCTCTCAGAAGGTGTTATTGGGGGACTCCTGTTCAACGCCGCAGCCGTTGATCTGTGGCGTTCCTCAGGGTTCCATCTTGTCCCCCATGCTGTTTAACATCTACATGAAGCCGCTGGGTGAGATCATCCGGAGTTTCGGGGTGCGGTGTCATCTGTACGCAGATGATGTCCAACTCTGTCACTCCTTCCACCTGCTACTAAGGAGGCTGTCGAGGTCCTGAACCGGTGCCTGGCCGCTGTAATGGTCTGGATGAGGGCGAACAAACTGAAATTAAATCCAGACAAGACAGAGGTACTCCTGGTCAGTCGCAAGGCCGAACAGGGTATAGGGTTACAGCCTGTGCTGGACGGCGTCGCACTCCCCTTGAAGGCGCAGGTTCGCAGCTTGGGTGTGACCCTGGACTCATCGCTGAGCCTGGAGCCCCAGGTTTCAGCGGTGACCAGGGGAGCATTTGCACAGCTTAGGCTCGTGCGCCAGCTGCGCCCGTATCTTGGGAAGCCTGACTTGGCCACGGTGGTACACGCTTTGGTCACATCCCGCCTCGACTACTGCAACGCTCTCTACGTGGGGCTGCCCTT